GAGACCTCATGGCGGCCTTTCACTGCTTAAAGGGGGCTTATAAGAAAGACGGATAGAGACTTTTTTGTGACAGGACAAGGGGCGACAACTTTACACTGAAAGAGGGTAGGTGTAGATTGGACATGAGGGAACTTTTTATGATGAGAGTGATGGGACATTGGGTCAGGTTGCCTGGAGAAGCTGTGGATGACCCATCACACTGGAAGTGTTCAAGGTCTGGTTGGACGCGGCTTTGAGCAACCTGTTCTAGTGAAAGGTGTCCCTGCCCACAGCAGAGAAACTGGTCTGGATGATCTTTGAAGGTCTCTTCCCACCTAAACCACTCTTAGGAACCTATGGTGCCTCAGCATGCGCTAACAGAGAGCCAGAGTGTGAATGTGGGCACCAGAAACAGCCGGTAGTTTAGAAACATGAGGGAGAACCACCATTCCTGGTGGGCTTCCCTCCAGCAGGGCAGTTCAAGGATTGGCAATGAACAGGCCCTGCAGAATAGCTCGCACCCCAAATTTAGTAACAGCCATTTGTGTTTTGACATCTACACTGATGACTAAGTCATTTGCATTTCAGTATTGGGCTTTAATATTATATGTAGGTTAACTACCTCAGTCATAGAATCATGGAATGGTTAGGGTTAGAAGGGACCTCAAAGATCATCTAGTTCCAACCCCCCTGCCATGGGCAAGGACACCCTCCACTACACCAGGTTGCTCAAAGCCTCATCCAGCCTGGCCTGGAACACTTCCAGGGATTTGATATTTGAATGAATCATTCTCTATATTTTACTGTGACTTGTCTACATTTAAGAAATGCTGTGTCCTGAAAACTATCACTTCTATGGATTTGTTCCTTTATTCCCGATTCTTTGATTCCCTTCATCACTCAAACTTTTAAGTCAATTTCAACTACATTTGGCATTCAGATTATGAGCTCCCCAGAACAGAGTCGGCTTTTGTTATCTGCCTGTATGTGGCTGTAAAACAGGCCTCTGATCCTGGATCTTTGTTGATGATACTGAGCCTCATTCCCAGGTGTAGAGCTGGATCAAATGATACTGAGTAAGGATTTGGACCAACTCCCAAATCCTTGCAAAATGGGGTGCCTTTAAATAAAGTATGAAACACCATTCCAGAGGGCTGTCATTGGAGTAGGTACTGGTCGCGCTTTATTTACAAAATCCAGAGATTTGTATGCAGCAATCTACAGGACAGCATAGGGCTGGTATCAGGAGGATAAAGGACATGCTCAGCAGGAGTTGAAGATGCCAGCAAGGAGTCATCTCGGTTTCACAGGGAACCTGCTTCCTTTTGACCGAGGAAGCCACCAGACCCCTCCAGGAAAAGAAAGAAGAAAAGCAGCAGCAGTAGCCAACCCAGGCTGATGTTGCGATTTTTGTTATCATTGAGGTGTGGGAGCACAAGTGATTGGTGAAGGAGGAAAGAGGAGACCAGCAGGGTTTCAGCACGCCATTAAGGGCCATCCTGCCTGGTTCTTTACTTCCAGCGCCCGCCAACCTTGCCCTTGGCTCCTGCCTTCTTGCTGCTACAATACAAAAGGAAAGAAAAACATGTCAGCATGATGGAAGTGGTGGGGCTCTGTGACCAGTGCATGTTTCTGACTCTCAGAGTAGGATCGAGCTGCTTTCTCTTCTCACATGTTGGGCACACCTGCCATAAAGCACATCCTGAGAAAAATATTGTCAATATTATGGAAAGAGAGTCCCCCTCAGGCTCTTAGTGAAAGGCCAGGATGTGCATGCCTGAAAGAGGTGGACCCTTCCAGATTCCTGCATTGTCAGGACAGAAGTCCAGGTGGTCTCAAAACTAAATGACAGGCCTATCCAACTGCAGACTTGATGTTCCCTGAATTCAAGTCTGCTATGATCTAGATTTTAGGATTTGGAGCTGTTTCTGGAGAAAATTTCCTCATTATCAGGGAGCTCTGGTCAATTCCGCATCTGCAGAATTTACTCATCTAGTAGCGGAGGCAAAAAGCGGAGCAATCATTTAAATACACCAAGAATTGCTTTGCTCCAGCAAAGGCAGAGTGGTTTCTGCCTTATATCACAAGAGCAAGAGCCTCCAAAACAGTCCAAACCACTTTGTAGGCCTCCCCTCATATCAGTATCCCCGTCTTGCTCGTGGTGTGATGGGGAGCAGTCCAGCTGCACTCCTCATGCAAAGCACCTGAAGCGAACTCATTCCAAATAGTACCTTCTTGCACACAGAAGGGCAATCCCGCATGCAAGCCACTTACCTTCTGACTGAGAAGCAGGCACGCCTGGAGTCAGAGAGGAGCCAGGCGTGAAGTTAGTTGGGTTAGATTCTGCACTGGCTCCCGTAGGCAGCACCTTGGCCTTTGGGGCTCAGCACACCACCAGACCTTTCCGTCTCACACACGTGTTGACAAGGCTGTTTCTTGAACCAAAGCACATGCAAAGTGGAGGCAGCTCTTTGGAATGGCAGAGCATGGGGTTGGGGGCCAAGCACAGGGTGGTAGGGCCTTGCTGTCAACAGAGAGGCCTTCTTCAGAACCACTGGTTCCTCCAGGGAACAGAAAAAAATGTAGATGACACATCTGGGGAGATTTTTGTGGTGCTGCCCCATGGATTGGTTCAAGAGCACTAGCCATATTTACGGAAGGATGTAGCACAACAGCAGAGACATACACATAGTGGATACTTTACCTTTTGACCAAGTTAGACTTGGTCTGTTCGATAAATTGACCTTTTACATGAGAGAGAGCAGAACATTTTCTGCTTATCTTAAATTCATCTCAGTGTCCCTTTTGCCAACCTTTCCAAAACCCAGTATAGGAACCGTGTAGCTCCTCAGACGAAGGCAGAGTCCTTTTATCTCCGTAAGCACCTGTGATGTTTGATGTTATGCCTAACCTTTAGAGTGTGCTTAAGGAGACTTAATAAACTCTGAAGCAAAGGATCACTTGATCCTTGTGTAACACATTAGCAGACATTGCTTTGGAATGGTGCAGTCTAGTGTGGATAGAAATTTAAGTACATAGAAATCTCATGAGCTGTGGGCTTCTCAGTGCAACCTTTTCAAATTATGTCCTGAGAGAGTATCATGTCTTTTGGGGGAACGAGCATATGGTAATGGTACTGTCTGTTGTGGGTGGTGTGGCAGTGCCCCTCAGATGAGCAGCAACACCCAGACAAATCATGGCATCCTTCTGCAGCTGCACATTCTGCTGAGGTTTATCAGCCTACGGCTCTGTGCAGAAAATACCATGGGAAGGTCAAGACTTATGTTTGGCATCTACAGACAGCTGAGCCCATGGTGTTACATTCATCTGATGAGGCAGTGTGGCTTGGGGAAGTGGGAACTGGTCGCTGCTGTCATCCAAAGATGTCACCAAAGAGCACCACTTCATTCCTGGCGTGACTTTGCTAAGGAGATACAGAAGCACAGTGAAGGTCAAATCCCACCACTGCAGAGCTCTCCTCCCTTGCTTTCCTGCGGTTCCTCCTCTGTGTCTGTTAGTTTTCTACATGTCCTGGCCCCCAGGCTTTGTCTAGCCCTAGTCTCTTGTAAGTTCACACCTAGAATAGTTAAAGGTGTAAGGATCAAAAAATCTAATGAAATAAAAGTCTTGTGTGGAAGAAAAGTGGGAGAGAGATGATGGGTAAAAGAACTCACAACAGTAATCCCACAATGTTAGTCTTGTTACACACCATTCCTTATAATCTTAGCAACCACTTGTTTAACCTTTCTAAACAAGAGTTGTATTCCATCAGGTATTCAAAGCACCTCAGTCAAGTGTTTGAAAACCCCAGCGATAAGCAGATGGAAATTTTGCAGACATGGTGTGAAGAAATACGATTTTTTTTGTTGTTGTTAGCTGTTACATTCACTTCAGTTTCCCCTTCATTTTCTCAATGTGAGGCAGGATGGAAGTTGCCCTTCCATCTCTAGCCTCGTTTCATTGCAACAAGAAAATGTTGGTGTTGAGGCTGAAGTGACCACTTTGAACACTGAGAAGATATCCCCAAGCCAGGAGCTAGGAAGGGGATATCAGTACTTACTGCTTCTGAGCCTGATCGATCCGGTTCCTGAGGGTGACAATCTGCAAACAACATACATGACCAGGGTTTTTAGAGATAAAGAAGACTTGTGCCCTCATAGAGGGGAGTTTTACCTGAAGTGTTGGAAGCAGGTGCCTATGGTAGAGATTAATACTTCCTTTGAAATAAAAGCTCACCCTTGCTTGAAGGAAAGAAATGGTGCTTCTTGGCAATAAATCTGCAAGCCAATTTCATATGTCAAGGGAACGAAGAGCTAGAATTATATAACCCTTATTAGAAGAGTTCTTATGTATACAAATTAATCTCCTATGAACTCACACGTCAAACTGCAGGCAGGTGAACCAGAACGAACGTCACCCTGGCCAGCTGGAAAGCTCTTGCAGGGCTCCATCCACCTGTACGCGTCAGCCTCGCCTTCTCACTCTTCCCCTACTCCTACACATTCAGAAGTGTATAAGGTCAAAGAGCTTCTGTGGCCTTTGGATGGGGACCTCAAGAATGGAAGATGGATCACACATTCTGCTGGAGTACCTTTGTTGGTTGGGAGAGCAGGAGGTGAGGAGCTTGCAGCAGTCACCACCTTCCCAGCCACTCATCTCATAAGAGAAGAGAACTTTTAAAGGGGCCAAAGAAAAAAATATGCTTGAGCAACAGAGGAGAAGGTTGGAGTTGGGGCCCTGAACACCTTCCTGAACACCTCTGTTGATGACTGCAAGCCACTAACGAGTCTATCCTACAAGACAGAGTGTCTCTTCATTTAGTCATAGGTAAACTGCATATTTCAACCTGACACATGGGAAAGCAAACACCTACCTTGCACAGGATGAGCACCGTATGGCCTGACTTAGCACCTCAGTCCCGGCCTATAGCCCTGGACTTGCTACTGAAATCCTGGGACTCTTCCAGCTCAGATACTGGAAAAGCCTACGGGAACTAGAGTGTGACAGAGAGCCCTCTTTTATCCCTTCACTTCTCATTTGTAACCGAGTCAAGGTTCTACCTAGTTTTCCTGGAGTAGAAAAATGCATTTGCCAAGACGTATGATTTGCTTCTGCTTTTGGTGTAATTCAAAGTTCTCCACTGGCTCTGCAGGTCCAAGAATTGATGACTCAACATTTGAATATTTAAAGTGGCACTTGACATTCCCCATGTACGAAACAAGAAAAAAAAAGTCATACATCCAGGTTGGCCCAACAACGAGTATTTCCTGGCTCGTATCTTTCCGTGGCAAACAGAAACAAAATAAGAGACTGAAACATTAGCAGGAACAGGACAACAAGGAAGGAAAGATCAGCAAATAAGTTGCTTTTGTACTTACTCATGGAAGTTTTAATATCTGCAGCAGTGGTTTAAATTCTTTTTTGCAACCAAGTATTTTTCTCAAGTGTGGAGGAGAACCAACTGTCTTCAGTTTGACCCAAGGACTTAAGACTTACCTTCACGGGTAATCTTGTGATAGTGACTGTAACACTCACTCTCCAATGAAGCACCAAAGAGCAACAGATACTAGAGCTAAAGAACAGCTCCACTCCTGGGTGTCCCAGTTTCTTCCTTTGTCTCTCCCTTGCATCCTTGCTTGTGTCTCCTTCATCCCTTTACTGTTTTCACTTACCTTTCTCCTCACTTTTTTTCCTGCTATTATCTTCCCTTTTTTCTTCCCCTTTTCTTCTCCCATCTCAGCTGTGTATTTTCCTTCTATTTTGCTCATTCTTTGTACTTTCTCTCCTTGCTTTTCATCAGCAGCCACCTGTCTCTTTGCTTACGCAGAGGTTTCATTACCGTAGCATGTAGGTATCCCCTGGCACTGCCTTAATTCCTGCTGCTCAGTTGACCTGTTATCCTTAAGCTAGCCCTCTCCGATATTTTGGATCTGGATAAGCATGTGGCCACAAGGTGGAGAATCTTTCCAAACCCCATACTATTCTTTTCTGTGAAGTCCAAGCTGTTACACATGCATCCCTAAGCTTCTGCATGTATCCCAGGTGCATCAAGGTGACTCACCCACACACATAATACCAGAGGTTTGGATAGGAAATTGTTTTAGAAATAGTCTGAGTGGGTTGCATGCTCTGTTCTTTAGCCAAATCCCTGTTATACCCCAACTCTTTTCCTGAATTACCACTTCATCTCTTTTGAAAAGAATGGAAGGGAAGAGAAAAAGGAAGTGAAGGAAGAGACACAAGATCCAGTTTTCTCTTTTCTCTCTGCACTTGGAGCCAAGTGCCAGTCTCTCTCTGGCACCTGGCCTCTGACCATGCGGCATGCATTTGGTAGCCTTTGCTGCTGCTTTTGCACAGGCAAGTTCATTGTACTTACAACTTGGAAAGCTCCTGCAGCCTGCAACGCATTGTTAAAATCTAAGAGAGATTGAGATAGTTACAATGGTGTTGTTCGTTCCCTGTCACCATGTGTCTGTGTGATTGGGCATTAAGAGGAGAGTGAGACAGAGAAAGATCCAGTAGGATTTCTCAGCCACTGAAAACTGACGTAGGTGAGTGCAGCCCTGTCCTGTAACTGTGAAGGGAACATGTCCACTTTCTGTTACCATGTGATGCTTCAGTCAGATGCTCCTGTCTGGAGACAGTTTTCAGTGACTCCAGAGAGCTCAGTCCACAGGGAATCTGTCTAGGATGGGAATAAAACTTACAACATTCAAGTCTGTAATCAAAGATGGGTTTAAAAATATTACTTTGCAATGGAGATGACTGAATGGAGTTACTGATTTTTCAGGCCACAGTTACCTATAGATAAACAAGAATGAACTAGATGTGTTTGGGCAGAAGACAGAGAGTCCATTTTCTGTTGGGATTGCTTTTCCATGGGACACTGAAAATCTTGAGAGTAGTCTGTTCAATTTCAGTCTAAACCGTGAAATCCAGAGAGTCATAGAATGGTTTGGGTTGGAAGGGACCTTAAAGATCATCTGGTTCCAACCCTTCTGTCACAGGAGGGACACCTTCCACTAGCCCAGGTTGCTCAAAGCCCCATCCAACTTGGCCTTGCACATTTCCAGGGATGGGTCATTCACTGGGCAACCTGTTCCAGTGCCTCACCATCCTCAGAGTGAAGAATTTCTTCCTTAGATCTAATTCCCTCTTTTGTCGCGGACTGCCTGTATCCTCTCACAGTGAATCGCAACCAAACGGTTGTTGCGATCACGATGCATTCCACAATCAGAAGGCTGTTCTAATCTCAATCAGAAATCTATCCAACAGAGAGCTCCAACTCACCACTCTCTAGGGACTCCTACCTCTCCAGCACCCAGAAAGAAACTACCCCCACTCCCTAAGGGGTGTGCCCCACCTTTAAGCCACCCATAGGTCACGTGGTCTCCAGCTGACCAACGTGACTCACAGCACCTGTCTTGATGAGGCACAGGTGCTTTCTATTTAGCCCATGTAGCAGCCAGAAAACTCCCCGGAAATCTGCCTCTTTCAGTTTAAATCCATTGCCCCTCGTCCTATTACTACACGCCCTTGTAAAAAGTCCCTCTCCAGCTTTCTTGTAGGCCTCTTTTAAGTGCTGAAAGGCTGCTCAAAGGTCTCCCCGGAACCTTCTCTTTTCTAGGCTGATCAGCCCCAATTCTCTCAGCCTGTCTTCACAGGAGAGGTGCTCCAGCCCTTGGATCATCTTCATGGCCCTCCTCTGGACTTGTTCGAACAGGTCCATGCTCTTCTTATGTTGGAGGCCGCAGAGCTGAACACAATACTGCAGGTGAGGTCTCATGAGAGCAGAGTAGAGGGGCAGAATCACCTCCCTTGACCTGCTGGCCACGCCTCTTCGGTTGCAGCCCAACATATGGTTGGCTTTCTGGGCTGCAAGTGCATATTGCCAGCTCATGTTGAGCTTCTCATCAACCAACGCCCCTAAGTCCTTCTCCTCAGGGTTGCTCTCCATCCATTCTCCACCCAATCTGTAGTTGTGCTTGGGACTGCCCCGACCCAGGTGCAGGGCCTTGTGCTTGGCCTTATAGAACTTCATGAGGTTTGCATAGACCCACCTCTTCAGCCTGTCAAGGTCCCTCTGGATGGCATCCCTTCCCTCCAGCGTGTCAACCAACCTACACAGCTTGGTGTTGTCAGCAAACTCGCTGAGGGTGCACTCGATCCCCCATCCATGTCACCAACAAAGATGTTCAACAGCACCAGCCCCAATACCAGCCCCTGAGGAACGCCACTCATCACTGGTCTCCACTCGGACATCGAGCTGTTGACCGCAACTCTCTGAGTGTGACCATCCAGCCAATTCCTTATCCACTAAGTGGTCCATCCATCAAATCCATGTCTCTCCAGTTTAAAGACAAGGATGTTGTGTGGGACAGTCAAATGCTCTGCACAAGTCCAGGTAGATGATGTCTGTTGCTCTTCCCTTATCCTTCAATGCCATAACCCCATCATAGAAGGCACAATTTGCCCTTAGTGAAGCCATGTTGGCTGTCACCAGTCATGTCCTTATTTTCCATGTGCTTTAGCGTAGTTTCCAGGGGGATCTGCTCCATGATCTTGCCAGGCACAGAGGTGAGACTGACTGGCCTGTAGTTCCCTGGGTCTTCCTTTTTTCCCTTTTTAAAAGTGGGGGCTATGTTTCCGCTTTTCCAGTCGGTGTGAACTTCACCAGACTACCATGACTCCTCAAATATTATGGATAGCATCTTAGCAAATTAATCTAACAGTTCCCTCAGGACCCGTGGGTGCATCTCATCAGGTCCCATGGACTTGTGCACCTTCAGATTCTTTAGATGGTCTCAAATGTGATCTTCTCCTAAAGTGGGCAGTTCTACATTCTCCCAGTCCCTGCCTTTGCCTTCTGTGACTTGGGTGGTGTGGCTGGAGCACTTGCCAGTGAAGACTGAGGCAAAAAGTCATGAGTACCTCAGCCTTCTCCGTATCTCAGGTAACCGGGTCTCCCATTTCCTTCCAGAGAGGGCCCACATTTTCCTTAGTCCTGCTTTTATCACCAACGTACCTATAGAAGCCTTTCTTGTTGCCTTGTTGCCCAGTCTAAGTATGTATGTTAAGGGAGTACGGTTCTAAGTGTCTTGCTGATTAAGCATTGCAAAAGGGCATTGGAGACCCAAATGATGTCACCACATGGCTTTTGCTGGAGGAGTCACAGAGATTTTTACATTTGGGACCCAGTACTATTAGCAAAATGGTTTCTTAACTCACCTCGTATTTTTTCCTCTTGATCTGCTCTGTAAAGTCATACTTTTCAGTCTCCAGCTGGTATAACCAGTCCCACAGTTCCTTAGCCTTGTCCCTGTGTGTTTATGAGGAAAGGAAGATGGGAGAAACACATCACATATTTTCTACTGTTTTCACATCACTAGTATTGAGGCTTTTTGCATTTTATTTAATGAAGTTCACACATCTTCCTGCAAACCCTTTCCATATTCTGAAAGCTACCCACCATTTTCAAGGTCACATTTTTCTCACCTTCTCACCTGAGAACCTATTAGACTTGCACTCTTGCATGTGTTACGCATTAACGTATTTCCTACAGATTTAATTTTCCCCCTAACTCTTAATGAAACAAGAGTCCAGAGGAATCAGACAAAAAGGAAAGAGAACTCTGAAGGCCACTCATATGAGCAGAGTAGCTGCCATTGCACAATCTCATCTGTTTCAGTGCTGAGGTGAGCCAACCTCATCTTTCAATCGTGTGAACTCTAACATGTGGGGTCCAGACTATCATGTGAAGACTGCTCTGCACCAGAGCACTGAGCTCCCAACCTTCCAGCCTCCGTGGAGACCCATGCTCATACCTTATAGCAGCTAAACTCACCCCTGGGAATGCTATAGATAGCAATCTGTAGGTTTGTTCAACTAAGGTCAGAGCTCGGTTTAAAGTTTGTACCTAGTCCCATAAATGACTAATCCTAATTAGCAGGAGAGGCTAACTGAGCTATGCCAGGAACATAGCTAGATGCCTACCAAACCATTTCAAAAATTCCTCACATCTCCATTTCCTCTCCATTCTCCAGATCAAGGAAGGGCAGAACTTAACAGTGTCCAGTGATGAATTTCAAGGAGGGCCTTCTCCTCTACCTTGTTTTTTCACTGGAGGAGACTTCAGGACAGTAAGACCAAATTTCAGTGGATTACATTCAGTAAGTTAGAGTTGGCATGTTACCTCAGCTTGTCTTCATTAAGGTGGTCAATGTTCAAGGGCTTGCGCCTCTCTGCCAGGACCTTCTTCTTTGTCTCTCTCGCTGTTTGCTTCTTTCCTCTCTTCTGATCAGCCTATTTTCAGAACATCAATTAACATCAGACTGTGGACATTCAGGCTGAATGAAATTATTTCAGCAGCAGAGCTTGTAAGACAAGCTGCTAGGGATCCGGAAGAAGGGAAGACGAGCTGTTTTCTCAACTTGTAATAATGACTGTTCCCAGTCAACTCCATGGTTTAATGCTTCCATATTTCTTCCATCGATCCATGCTTTTTACCTTAGCCAGATAGCTGCTGTATGTGGCACCCATGGAGGACAGAGCCTTCTTCTTCTTGAGATCATCCTCAGCTTTTCTCTTGGCATCTTCTTCCTCTCTCCGTGCCTTTTCTTCCTGTGGAGTGTGACACACAGAAGCAAGTTACTCTATAGGAGACACAGTTTCCACAGCAGCCAGGGTGACTGCAGGAAGTTTGGTCAGATAAGTATGTTGATGAGAATCGGCAACTCGTGTTTCCTGCCATTGCTTTAAGAGGATGGTCGTTTCTTCTCTGGACTCAGACAGGCAGAACCTGTAGTTTTTTTCTGTCTCTAGAGGTGTCCTCCAATTCAATGCTATGACAAGGAAGGAGATGCAAAGACACTTACCGCAAGCCTTGCCTGACGCTCCTTCTCCTTCTCAGCCCGGATTCTCTGTTGCTCTGCTCTTTCAGCTCTGCGCTTCTCCTGCAAGAAGCAGTGGCAGAGGCATTGAGTCATCTTTGCTACTTTATCTACCTCCAGTATTACCCACCACCACCAAGAGCTTTAGTTCATAGAGAGTGAGCCTTCTACTCTCTTGCCAGAACATGCAGAAGAGTCTCATGTGCAATTCCCAGATGCAAAACAAGAACCTGAGAGAAGGGACAGATGTGGGAAGAAGCCATTTGGTGGTGACTTGAGCAGTCACTTCTGTACATGGCAATAAAACTTTTTGCCAGACTCTGAGAGTGGACTAATGGATTCAACTTCTCATCTACAGAGGATCTCTCAATCTAGTACAGGGAAATGGCAGTACAAGGACTCACAATTCTCTCCTTGAGGGCAACCAGCTCTTCCTCTTCCTTTCTCCTGGCTTCAAAGTGGCTGTCAATCAAGGCCTGCAGTTCAATCAGGTCTTTGTTCTGCCTTTTCTTTTGGATGTCCTAGAAGAGCAGGAAAGCGCATTAAGCCAGCCCATATTGCTCTAGAAACATGCCATGGACATTCCCAGCACGCTGTTTACACAGAGAAACAAAAGCAGAAAACGTCTGCAGATATCCATGGAAATCTATGCGATTAGCTTAAATGGCTGTTGATGCAGGGCAGAGACAGTCAGGGACTCATCCAGGTGACAGTCAGGAGCCCAGAAGTGAACAGAATCCACATCTCTCATTCCCCTGCACCATATTTTATCCCTGGCTTTGCTTAGCTACCTCTTCTTTGCCTATACTTAGCTGCCTCCTCTTCACTTTGGGGTATGAATCTTAACTAGAAAATGTTCCTGCATTTTTGGGCAAAGCAGATATTTCTGTGGAGATTTTCAACACCAGAGTTTCTCCATTTTTCTGTCAACTTTCTAGGAAGGTATTTAGATCTCTGTTTAGTATTAAAATTCTGTTGTCATTTTAGGTAGTGTTTCTTAGCAACAGGTGAGTATAGGCCTGCTTTATTTCCACCTGCAACTTTCAAGCCATTTACAACAATGGGACAGGGGATCTGAGAGCTCCTACAACACTTACTTTCTCCTTTCTTCATATATTGGCTTCAAAGATTCAAGGAGAAAAAAAAGAAATACGTGAATTAACATTTTAACTTGGTCACATTAGCAAAAAATGCATCCAGAGAGTTTCAGGGAGCATAGAATAGCCTTTCACTGAAAAGAGGTGGAAAAGCATCCATACTTTTGTTCCTGACTTTATCCTCAACAGTATCCAATACAGAAGGAGTTATGTGGGTTTGCACACATGTGTATGGCTCAGGTACAGATAGAGAAATACAGTCAGTCTCAGGAGTACTTACATCAAAATCTACTTTCTCACCCTCCGGTATTTTAGGAGCAGTTAGTCTGCAGAAAGTCAGGGAAAAAAAAAAAAAAAGAAAAGAAACAAAACAAATAAACAAACAAAAAATATATTTTCATCTTAAAGAGCAGACAGATTTTAAATAGCACCTCCTGACCTGCCCTGTCCTCAGAAACAATGCTGACAAGGAGAAATGATGGAAATACAGAGAGGTGAAACAGAAAGTCAATGGAGAACTGCTCCATAGTAACACTAAGGACCATTGTCCTTTGTGGAAGGTCATGAGGGGAGGGAGTTAACCCTAAAAACCCTTTTGATTCCCAAAGCCTGTGGTCATCTCCTACCATACAGAAAGACACTGGACTGCGAGACTGTCAGCGCAGTGCTGCACGCTCCTGTCTGGGCAGCTGGCCGAGTGGGAAGGGTTGGTGCTGGGGCCCAGAGCCAGAAGGTCCATAGGAGACCTTAGTTAAGCTCAAGTCATCCCAGCTCAACGTTTGCCATCCTTCCTACTGTGAACAGTCCTGTATGGATGGGTCGTTTCCCTGCCACGGCCTCTCACAAAGGATTTAGTGTTGAGCCACCTGTATCTTGGGGTACTGTGAGACAACTGTATCTTGGATAGTTCACGAGTCCTCTGACTCTGACAGGAACTGGTCTGAATACCCTAGCCAGTAACTACTGCTAAGGCATCCACTGACAGAGCAGACATCCTGGAAAGGCATGCAGGAACGGCTGGATGTTGCACGGAGGGTTGGACAAAGGCTTCTAGTGGCTATTTGTCTATTAGGTAATCTAAGGGCTTCTATTAGATCAGAAAAATGATCCCAGGGTTTTGAAACTCCCTGCACTTCATACTTACTTTATTCTAGGCTTCTCCTCTGTATTTGGAAACATGGAGCAAAACAGGAAGGGAAAAAGAGGGAGAACAGTTAGAACAACAGAGATCATGCCAGCTGCTAAAGTAAAAAGAGGGAAGGGAAATTTAATCTTAGGGGAAACATCCCAGAGAAGCTGGTTAAATCTCAAGCACTTCCAAAAGAAATACATACACTCACACATCCCTTTTGCCAGGAGTGAATCTGTTTTTATCCTTGAAACAGAATTTGGCAGAAAAGAATCAAGAGACTGTATAAAAGTCCCAAACGTAGCATCTGGAAGGCAATGGTTTCGTGTAAATGCTGAATTATTTTTCTCAAACCATCCTGACCAAAGCTCTAAGGAGGACAGCTGGGCTGGAGGGTAGAAGAAAATGTTGCCTTTTTCTATCAGCACTTCCTTCACTGAAGTTAACCTGAATTCACAGTCATGTCAATGATAACTGTGCTTCACCAGTTTTGCTCAAGTGCCTCATATGGAGGCCAGGAGGAAGAAAGCTTCATGACACATGTTCTCCAGGTTCATTGACTCCCAAGATAGCTTAGAGCACATGTCCCTGAGATACCTTGGTGCCATGGGGAAGATGCTTATTCTTCTGCACTATGTGGTGGTCCTCAAACCCAGCTTGGAAAGGCCATCCTCTCTTAGTGAGCATCCTCTCCTGCTGAGGTACATGCAAAATTCCCATGGGTGTTAACGGGAATGATCTTTGCATCTCCAGGAGAGGTAGAATGCCCTGTTAGGCAGGTGAAACCATCACAGAGACTGTCAACTTGGGCCCTCTGGCAGTCAGAAGAGTTGCCCTGCAACAAGTGACCTTTCCCTGCCTCTCAGAAACGTGCTGTCTTATGAGTTACTCACTTAACATTTGTGCTTGTGATCAATTCCCCTCCCAGCTGTGCTTTTAAAACTTTAGTTATTAACTCCAGTGTAGTGCCAGTAAGTTCAGCACTGATATTCTCACAAACAGAAGTAAATTAAACCTACGTGTTTTTTCTGGCCCATTCTCACAGGGACTCAGGTTGACTTTCATAACCACACGCTACGTTTGAACTTTCAGGGATGCTGCTGGGTATCACAGTACAAGGCTCTCCCTGTGTTGGTTCCATGGGAGGAACTGAGGTAAAAAGCTCATGGCCTATTGAATCTGGTAAAAACAACCAGCTTTGCAAAGTAAGAGTACCAACAGCCCCCCTCTGGAGTGGGTGCATGAGCCCCACAGTCCGTATCATGATACAGAAAGCTATTATATTATATTTGTTCAGATGCTTATTTGCATTCAACTGTTTTGGGACCAATGGAGGAAATTTGGAATAGAAAATGGAACAGAGTAGGATAAAATAAAATGAAACATTATCAGAGGAAAAAAAATAGCAAAAACTGATACTGGAAAATATTTAGTGGAGACATCAGTTGCAAGGATGTTGGATGATAAAAAAAATTGAGGAAGTGGTAGGAAATGAGTTATTGAGATAATTAAGAGAAAAGACATGAGAGATCAGAAACGAACCTTTCTCTCACACTTTCCCATACCAATTTCAGTAATGAAATTTTGGGGGTAGACTTTTCTCATTTACTGCAAGAACACTGCCTACCAAAACATATCTCAGTTGAGGCCTCGAGATGCTAAAGCAATGCTAATAAAATAAACAGCATGTTGACTAGGAAAGTGTTTTAGAGCACTTGTATAAAGGAAGGCATAAATTGCTCCTGAAGAAAAATACCATTAGCCCACAGTGTATTTCTATATTTTTGCAGTTATTTTTTCAGTTGTTTTACTTTTCAAATAGCCAATGAGCTTCTTAACACATTAGTTGAATCATTTTTTTTATCTGGAGAGAGGAAAAGTAATCACGATTAACCAGTCTATTAGAGATGCTCTTCACACAGGATTCCCTTCCCTGGGGACATACCCAGCTAATTTTCAGAAACATTCCTGTTTAGCTTAAAACTGCCAGTTAGTAACATTTCAGAGAGAGGGGAAAAGAATAAAGTAGACAAGAAATGACTGGTTTTGTTTGTTGACCTTGGTTGCCAGGACTGACACCTATCTGTCAATGACTGAATTTGGTTTCAGCTGCCACCAAATCAGCACTTTAAATCAATAAACAATTGTAAAAATAAAAAGAAAAATTGAGGTTAGTTGTTCTTGAAGTAAGAAATTGTGATTAGAATACTTAAAGGTACCTCCAGAAAATCAGAAAAGGGGATAACGAAGAAATAGGAGCCTGTATTAAAAAAACGAATAGTAATAAATCTGTCTTTTGCAGCGCATGACCCAGCATGGTCCATACCATTTTGGTGAGCACCAAAAGCAGCCCTGGTTGTGATTTAGTTTTAAATGCCCCTTCTTTCAAGACACCAAGTCAAGGAACTGGGCCAAAATTTGTTGACAAGCAGGAATTGTCATAGCAAATTCCTGTTCCGGTGGCAGATTTTGACTGACATTCTGGTCATTCTGCCCATGAGCCATGGGGCTGTGACAAAATCTCCACGTACAACCCTGCCAAAAGAAGGCAAGAGCCACTGGAAATCCAAGTTCACTGCCCTGATGATTGGAGAGTCTCTGAGTTTCTGGTTTCCAAAAGGATTAGGTCACGGAGATAGGTCACACCACCATAAATACAACCTTGCTTTCTCCTGCCCAATCTATGAGATATTCACACAGTGCTCCCCCTTCCTAGGAATCCATCTGAACTGCTTTTACTTTGTTCAAAAATCCCTAAACACCCACTGTCATCCCACTTCTCAGAAGAAACGTCTCTAACTCACAGTGTATCCTTGAGAAAAAAAATCAATATACTATTAAAAATAAAGAGAGAAAAAGAAGGAGAGAAAGGGGCTTAGAAAGGTCCTCAGGGCATTTCCCTAAATAAGAAAAAAGCCTGAAAAGCAAGCAAGAAAATTAAAGCAAACAAACAAACAAACAAAATCTACAGAAACAAAACAAAAGGAAACACAGAAAATGCAGGGTGGTTTCAAGTGGCATTGGGCTTTGTCTTTGGAAACAGCTGGCCAGGTGTTCGAGGGGCTGAGGCAGTCAGAACACAACCGAGCTACTTCAAAGGCCTGTAAAAGTTCATGAAAGTCTTTCTACACATTCAAACTGGATTTTAATTCGGCCCAGAGGCCTTGAGTTATCTTGCCCTCATACAAGAGCAAAACTGACCATGCATACATTTAGATTTGGTCCTTTTACATGATTCTTGTCCCCACCCATGTGCTCAAGTGCCCACTCAACCAACTATTATGAACACACCATCTTAAGCCCCTGGCTGGCCCCACCAGTAGGAATGGATTTGTTCACATGCTTGATGTTTAGCACAATTTTAAGTGCATGACTCGAGCAGAAGTTTAAATATCTGTAGATTCCGGTCTGGAGACCATGACCTTCTAAAGGCTGCCAGGTGAGGAAGGCACATCTACACAGGGTTCAGCTCCATTTTCAAGCATGCCACTGGGATTTAAGAGATACGTTCCTGATATTTTGGGGATAGAGAAGGTTTGCTGATGAGAGATATGACACAAGAGGTTCTAGCTAAAAGACAAGTCCAGAGCAAGCTTCTAGAGCTTAGTTTTCACCATCTACTATCCTAATGAGGATGTACAGGCTTCTCCATACAATAGTAACCCCCCCAAGGGTGATTGGATGTGCCCAGTAAGCAATTCTTTGCGGCAGAGATGTTTTGGCCCAGTTCCTGAGTTTAAAATCAAGTGAGGAACAAAAACATGTAGAGAAAAAGAGAGTGAGATGTTAGAAAGATGACTTTGTTGTCCAAAGACAACACTGAGCTACCATCATAGTATTCACCGCCTTCTTCAGCTGTAGGTTGAAGGATAAAAGCAAAAGAGAAGAAGCACAGTAGTCAGTCCACAACCAGCACTGTTCTCCTAAGAGCAACTGTCCCCACTCTCTCCCTGCTATGCTGAGAACCTTGGACTCTCTGGAGCTTGAACAAGAAGAAAAAACACCTTTGTGGTGATTTCATCTGGCAAACATACAGCCCTTTCCTCCATGTTCATGCAAAGCCATCCAGAGAGACCATTTCCCTCCCATGCTCTCTTTGCTTTTGAACAAGTGTTTTTACCA